AGCCGGTTGTTGTTATTAAGGAACACAGATGAGAAAGCCGTTTTTATTGCTGGTATCCTTAGTTATTTTTTATTTTGGTTTCTTGTTGTGTGTTTGTTTGTTTTGTTTTGTTTTGTTTTTTAATTCCCTGGGTAGTTCCGTGCTTTAGGTTTTTGAGTTTCATTAAAAATAAATTGGTCTTTGCTAATGCTCTTTCTTTATTTTGTTCCAAAAGCCCAACTTCAAAGCAATTTACTTTAAGCTTCTACTAATAAGACATCTTTGATATTTGCATATAAAAAGTTTTGAAACTATCTTACAATTTATTTTCAATTTTGTTCAGTTTTGAAAGGAGGGACTTAGGACTTTTTCCCTAATATGATTAATTTTTCGAAAAAGCTTTGTTGCATACAAAAAGCCGTGGTTAACAGTGGAGTATTCTTCTGTGGTTGCCGTGAATGTGCTGCAGATAGGAGTTCATTAAGACAAGACATCTTCCCACTCTCTAGTCAAACCATTGGGTGCTCCACGTATAACGTTCATACCTAGTTTTATCAGTAGATCAGATGTTATCCCAATAAGTTACTCCTATAGCTTCAATATCTTGGAAAACTCCAAATGATTATACCAAATAAGTTACATGGAAATTCTCCCCATCAGTTTCATAAAAATATTTAAATTACTAACTCTATAGAAATCTGTTGAGCAATCTATGAGGCAAACCTTCCCCCAAGGATTCGGTTTGCACGCACCAATCGGATTTTCACCCAGTGCCTCGGGGGGAAAAAAAGTGGGTGTGAAAGGAGCATGAGAACAATCACTCCATTTCACACGTTCACTAAATTGAAAGGATTGTGTTTGTAAAGCTCTGTAATGTGACTACTTTGTGGCAATGAATCCTGCAGTAATGGGGGGACAGATTTCTTAAGACTGTATTTTTTGCTCAGATTCTAAAAATGTAAATGATGAGATGCTCTGTGTCTGGAAGGTTATTTGTTGATTAACTCTGTAAATGGGATTTTGTATAGCCTGAGTCCCTTAGTCTGAAGCCTTTTCTTTTTCTCCACTCTAAGCCCCTTTAGAGATTATGCAGATGTACGCAGTAAACAACCTTCCAGAATAACTTTCTCCTGTTCCCCAAAGGTCAGGCCAGAAATGGTCTATAATCACTGAATAATAATCTGTGTGAATTGTCATCCAGCCGTATCAACTGATGCTTACAATCTCCGTCGGTCTTATGGTGCTAGTTACTTATCTACACCGAATACAGCATTTACCACGGAATAATTTTACTTCATATCTAACAAAAACTAGGTTTAAATTCTAGAAATTGAGCAGATTCCAACCTAAGAGGGGAGAACGCTGACTCCTGAGGGCTTCCAAGTAGAATCTCGATGCTCCACCTTCTCTGAGTCAGGTTCAGGAAAGGTAAGCAAGGGAGCCAGCAGGTACCGTGTCAGGCCAGCTGTCAGTTAAGANCTGTGTCTGGAAGGTTATTTGTTGATTAACTCTGTAAATGGGATTTTGTATAGCCTGAGTCCCTTAGTCTGAAGCCTTTTCTTTTTCTCTACTCTAAGCCCCTTTAGAGATTATGCAGATGTACGCAGTAAACAACCTTCCAGAATAACTTTCTCCTGTTCCCCAAAGGTCAGGCCAGAGATGGTCTATAATCACTGAATAATAATCTGTATGAATTGTCATCCAGCCGTATCAACTGATGCTTACAATCTCCGTCGGTCTTATGGTGCTAGTTACTTATCTACACCGAATACAGCATTTACCACGGAATAATTTTACTTCATATCTAACAAAAACTAGGTTTAAATTCTAGAAATTGAGCAGATTCCAACCTAAGAGGGGAGAACGCTGACTCCTGAGGGCTTCCAAGTAGAATCTCGATGCTCCACCTTCTCTGAGTCAGGTTCAGGAAAGGTAAGCAAGGGAGCCAGCAGGTACCGTGTCAGGCCAGCTGTCAGTTAAGACCCATCTTCCCACCCTCATCCCAAGCACCAATGTCATATGGAGTATACAGTGAGCATCTATTCTGTGCACGGCATTGGCTGGGTTCCCTGGGAGACTCAGGAGGCCTTGTCTCAGGACCAAGGAGTGTGGCTCCTCCCCTCTCGGGTCTGCTCACAGAATCCCAGCCAGCATGTGGGTGACAGCCTCCACAGGGACTGTCGACAGACTTGAAAGATATTCAGGGCATTTACTCGGTTATTTAGGAAGAGGAACAGGGAAGAGCAAGAGACAAGTGATGAAACATCGGAGACTCTGAGCCATGTGGCAAACGCCATCGAGACGCCTCCTACCTGCTGGCTCAAGAGTGTGTGTCGGGGCACTGCCCGTGAAGAGCCAGTGACTGTGGGAGTGCAGCTGACTCCCTGCTTACCTTTGCCACAGTCGAATGTGTGAGCCAGCCCGTGCGTGTGTGTGTGAGAGAGAGACAGAGAGAGAAAGAGACAGAGGCAGAGACGAAGAGGGCACACACAGCTTGTCCTCGTTCTTGTACAAGATCTGTGCACAGATCCGGGAGCTGCCAGCATTCAGCCCTGACACATAGGACATGCCTGGAAATCACAGTTGTATTTTCCCAGCTCACATGGGTGGCTTCAGATTCTCCTCTGAATGGGAAAATTTTACCTACAGATTGATTAGAGAGGCTGTTAACAACAACTTTTGCCAACATATTAGGGGTCATGTTTCCTTATTTGTACCTTTTGTCTAGAGTAGTATGAAAAGATTTAAAGCACAAATCTCTGCTGTGTCCCCAGCGAGCTGTGGCATCTTCTCATGAGAGGTCACATGTCAGTCAAGGTGGCCGTCCACCCACGCTCCCCTCACTGTAGGAATTCTCTCAGTTTGAGAGCTGTGCTCTTTTTCTGTTTTATTTTTTGTTTGCTTTTTTTTTTTCTTTTTTTCTTGGTGGTATCAATGCTGCTGTTTTTCTGCTGTTTGCTGGTACTGCTCATAGGAATGTTTCCCAAGAAAGAGCCACATCTACATTTCACTGGAACATGTCAGGGAGCCCTGGGGATTTTTCCTAGCCCAACTCTTCTTCTGTATAAGCAAAAGAAAAATGAACATCTTACACAATATGTAAAATGAGTTAGCAAACAAGAAATTTAATAATATAGTGTGTGTTTTCAAAAAGACTTTTTGAATAGAGGTTTGTTAGGTTCTGTTTTGTTCATTTACTTTTAGTTAGAGCAATGCCTATAAAGACTTCCAACTTTTACGCAGTTGGAAATATTTGCCTATAGACAAAAAGCAAGAAAGAACTCAGTGTCTGTAAATGTTTATGCAGGTTTCGTGTCACGGTGGGTCCTCTAGTTTCGTTCCACATGGTTTTCGTGTTAGGACTTTTTAAAACAAATACTTTTTTACTAAGGGGGGGTTTAATATTGCAACTAATAAGTAAAGTTAAACAGCATCATTAAAGAATGTTTTCTCAAAATTAATCCTCTTTTCTAGTCCAAAACATATATGTGCAGCTGGCAAGGAGAGACACTATGTTTCACAGTGGATTTCGCTTTGGGTTTCACCTGTTTCGACAGTAAGACAAAGGTAAGATGCCGACAGTCAATCCACAGGGCCATGGCAATGCATTTTAATTGCATGTCAGGGATGTTAACACACATAAATGTCTGACAGCTGCCACCGACTCTGACGGATTTTGCATCTAAGTAGTGCCTGTGTAGACTATCTTCTTTCTGGTAGCTCAGGGTCCCAGGATTTTCACAAACCCTACAGCCCAGGCAATGGAAACTGAATGGGGTTTGGGATCATGATTCACATCAGGGTGGAGTAAGGTGGGAGAGGGAAGCACAGGGTGAGTGTTCTTGATCCTGCTCAAAGGAAGGCCCACACAACGCAGTTAAACACTTGGAAAAGAAATGCTAATTGTTGCAAGCTTAAAACCTGAGCATTTCTGGTCACAGTAAAATAGCACCCGTAGCTGGCGGAGTTCATTGAGTGCTGTTTCCACACATATAAAGCTTCACTGATTTCAGTTTATTCTGCATGAAACTTCAAATGTGAGCTGTGGGGACTTAGACTCATTCCCATTAGCATCTGAGTGTTCACTGATCTACATAAGTGTTAAGAAATGTTTTCCAAAGTCAAAGGCAATATTTTGTCATATGATTATTTAAAAAATCTACTCCCTGTGCTAATTAAAAATGAGTTGGATGGGAAGGTATTGGTGTAGTGGTGATTTTTGTAAGGTAACTTGAGCAGGAAGACATATAACGATACAGGAAGTGGATTGGTTAACATAAGGCTGCTTTCGGTTACTTTTCTCATACGGGTTAAAGCCAAGGGGGCTTCCTCAGTGTGAAGAACTGGCTCAGATTGCTGGGCAACTTCTGACTGGTTGCTGGAAATTGACTGTTTTTAGGAAGAACTGGTCTGTTAGAGGACCGTCCTGCTTTCTTAAATTTTGTTTGATTGGGTGTCATTTAGCATGAGTGGCTCCATTTTGGTCGAGCCTGTGGAGCCCAGTGCAAGAGCTCAGTCCAAACAATGGCCTCCCATAAATTTTATTTAACATCGTCTTTATTAAATCCATTACGATGTGCATCGAAATTTCAAATGCCTGCAGTTACTCTTTGACCTCTACTCCTATGCACTGTCAAACTTCACCTGCTTTTCAGTGCGCAGAGTCAACCCTGAGTGAGTAAAGCCTCACCTCAAAGCTCCGAGAAGCTATGATTCATTTCTCAGAGTTATTTCCAAGCTTCCATGTTTAACAACCTGGGGTACTCTCTCCAGTGAATTAGTCCCTGCAACTGTTAATGAGAACTTGTGACACGGTGCCCGTCTCCTTGAGAAGTTCGCCCTGGCTGGTTTTCCATTCTTCTGGAGCAGGACACTGGAAATGTCTGGAGACACTCTTTATTGTCACCAGTTGGAGGGGAGTTCCTGCTGGCATCCTACAGTGCGCAGGACACCCCCATCACACAGGGTAGGTGGCTCCAACATGTCAACAGTGTGGACATTAAGAAGCCTGTGCTGGAGCAGGAGGTGGCTTCCTTTCCAGAATTACAGAACTGAAGTTCATGTGGTCTTTGTTACTGTACTTCCTCCCAGGGAAACAGCTGGGCTGTGTTTACAACAGGGGTGCACACGGTGTTTATAATGGTAACAACATGCATCTGCACACAGACTTAACATGAAGAAGGGATTTCACGTCTGCCTCTCCATCATGGTCTCTCCTTCCAGTCCTGAGGTCACACAGCGGGCGGACGACTCCCTGATCCCACTCAGGGGTGCTTCCTTCCGTACCTGGTCTGCCATATGGACCTGCCGGTCGCAAGCTGCGGGACTCGCTGTTCACAGCCTTGCTCTGTGTGTCCTTCTGAGATAAGGAGAATGCTAGAGCAACTGTCCTAGAGTACTGAAAAGCCTCTGCACGTGTGGTAAATACAAGACCTGATTTGCAACTGTCGCTCGCTCTGTGTTCAGGAACTCTAAACTGAGACTTTCCCTATTCCACCTGGAGAGCAAGTTTGCATAGTCCACTAGCTGCAGCCCGTGGGATCCCACGTGCCCCTTTCTGGCTGAACTTAGCAGTGCGGGTGGGTAGGCCCTGGGACAGTTCCCTCACCTGAAAAGAGCCCCATGAGCCTTTCCTTTCAAGGAGCAAAGCACGCACCCACCAGCCTGGTGGCTGCTGCAGGCACTCACTGGGACGCCTCTGCGGGGTGCTGGCATGGGCGGTTCATTCACAGACAAGGCTCTTCCCAGCCAGTGAGTCTCGTTCCACTTTCAGGGCTCAGCACAGCATCCACAGATGCCACCACGTCTTCCTGTTGTGACTCTGCCAGAGGATTTCCCTATAACCACCCTCTGTCTTACACACGGCCATGACACGGTAGTCCTGGGGCCCTTGAAGAGGGGGTCCCGCATTCTCCCTACTCCCTTCACGTCCTTCTGAGGACACCGTCAGAAGATGGAGTCCTCAATGGCCCACATGAATTAAAAGAAACGGCCACTGGAACATCGGCACAGCCCTAGACAAGCCCTTAGCCTCTCACATGCTCAGTTGCTGAGCAGGCACGTTTTCCTGCCAGAGTGGCCAGCGGGGTCCCTAGGGAGCTGAGATGGGAGTGGCCATTTGTGATTTGCTTTGCCCACGTGCTCTCGGCCACGGCGCGTCTTCTGCTTTCCTCTGCCCGTGAATTTCCTGTCTTGCCAGGCCACTGCACTATGACTTTCTCTCACGAGGATATTCCTTTGTCTTTGGTGGTCTGCTCTGTGCTGGGCACAGGCCTGCAGACCCGGGCTCAGGGACCCCGAGGGGCACTTCCTGTCATTGAGTCCAGCGCTTTTCCCCTGATTAGCGCTAAAATTGGCCCAATACAAATTTTAAATAGTTCTAATTTTTCTCTTAGTGCTATGCAAAACTGGGGTGTGAACCCTTTAGGGTACAGCCACAATGTTTTAAATTTCCTGGTGATGGCACTGTACAACTTAATCCAGCTCTTGTCATCAAAATGGATTGATCTGTAGCATATAGCCACGTCTGTCTGATTAGACAAAGTGGATCAGCTCGATGGTGCTAGAATAAACGTGTGGCATTAACCATGGGGACCCTCGGAGCCTGCATGGTGTGAAGGGCAGCCCTGCCTGGCCACTCTGGCAGGACACAGCTCGCAGCTGCGCCTGCACCAGCAGCAGGTTCTGTCCCCAGTTCAGCCCCGCCCGCGGGGATCTGCCTTCCAGGAAGGCTTCTCACCTTCTCAGTTGCACCTGTTCAGTGTCTTTCTTTAAGTCAAGTTTCCGTAAAAATTCAATTAAGACGTCTTCTTGCTCACCGGAACCTTAAGTACAGAGGCTGTGACCCACTGGCATACTCTCCTATGAAGGTGGACACTTGACCTCACATTTTTCTTATGATTACTTTTTGTTTCAAGAAGTTCTGGCCTAATACTGATATATGTAGTCTGTAATTATAGAGCAACTGAAAATAAAAACAGCATATGACAGCATAAAAAGAAAATTGTTCCAGAGGCTTGCTGCTTGTATTCCTATTAGTTTTTATTTTTTTCTTTTTTTTAAGAGTTGACAAAATTCTAATTTATTTTTAGAAGAAAAACTTTCCCACCTTAACTGTGAAGGGTAAACCAATGGATTGTAAATCTATAAGATATCTGTACTTTTGCTTTATTTAGATCTTTTCATTGTTTTCAACATAGGATGACATTTGTTAGGTTTTTAATTATTTCTATATTGATATTAAGTACTTAAATGATTATTTAATAGGAAATAATTATAAAAATATTTTCTCCATGCTTCTGCTAGATAAGTCATTATGAAAACCATCAAGTAGATTTCTTGGCTGGAAATGCTTAGATTGGGATTTACCATGCTTGTATTCACAGGATAATTAGCACTTCCATAATGCATCATGCTGTTAAATTAGACCATTTGTATATTAATTCTGGGTCAAAACTAGACCTGCAATGTGGCAGCAATGCTTATTAAGCAAACGCATGCTAGAAAAAACACTCTGGGTTTTGATAAGTGCCCAGATTTTAATGAGAATCCACGTGGGCATCCACCTCAGAAGCACACCTGTGGTCAGATTCCTTAATTCCCCACTTCTGCCCCCACCAGAGGAGGACAGGCGGTTACTTCCAACATCAACACGTTCACCGTTGATAAGGAGCAGTCAAGCAGGAAAAACAAAATTTTGTTTGGCCATGGAAATATTTTCTGTACTTAAAAAAAGGGGGAAGACGATATGCAATATACATTATAAATTTCTAGATTTGAAGTTTTTAAAATAATTAAACAAGAATAGATTAGAAACGTTCTACTTGCTAGAAGTGACAATGCCCACAGCTGCTCAGATGGAGGAAACGTCACCTCTTGATATGTCCCTCACCTAAAGACAGTGTCCCCTCACCTCACAACAGTGTCCCTCACCTAGAGAGTGTCCACTCACCTCATGACAGTGTTCCCTCACCTCACGACAGTGTCCCCTCACCTCATGACAGTGTCCCTCGCCAAATGACAGTGTCCTGTCACTTCATGACTGTCCCTCACTTCAGGATATTGTTCTGTCACCTCACAACAGTGTCCCTTCACCTCATGACAGTGTCCCTCACCTCACAGCAGTGTCCCTCACTTCAGGGTATCATTCTGTCACCTCACGACAGTGTCCCCTCACCTCACAACAGTGTCCATCACCTCACGAATGTCCCTCACTTCAGGATACTGTTCTGTAACCTCACGACAGTGTCCCTCACCTCACAACAGTGTCCCTCACCTCACAGCAGTGTCCCTCACTTCAGGGTATCATTCTGTCACCTCACGACAGTGTCCCCTCACCTCACAACAGTGTCCATCACCTCACGACTGCCCCTCACTTCAGGATATTGTTCTGTAACCTCACGACAGTGTCCCTTCACCTCACGTCAGTGTCCCTCACCTCACAACAGTGTCCCTCACCTCACAACAGTGTCCCTCACCTCACAGCAGTGTCCCTCACTTCAGGATATCATTCTGTCACCTCATGACAGTGTCCCCTCACCTCACGACAGTGTCCCTCACCTCACAGCAGTGTCCCTCACTTCAGGATATCGTTCTGTCACCTCACGACAGTGTCCGGGTGCTGGGCCTGATCCCCAGGGAGCCTGTTCCTTACACTGGAGTTGGATAATCTTATGAAGTTGCATTGAGGCAGATGCGGAGGAGCAGAAAATCAGTTTAAAAAGAAAAATAAAAAAAAACGGAAGAAGAATTGAGTTCCTTGTAGGAGAAAAAGCAAAGACAGGTCTTTGGCCTGAGTAGGAAGGTGGAGAAAAGTTACAGCTCCCAGGAAAATGCCAAAAAATCAACCTGCTCTGATCCTCGATGTCACAGACTCTTCTGGAACTGCTCAGTGATTAACAATGAAGAATTCAAGTATCACTTTCTATCATTAGTATGTTAAAAATTTTAATTTGTTGAAAAGGAAATGAGAAGTGATGATCACTATTAACAACCCGTCACATAAAAATGAAACATAAACATCGACGTTTGACGTAACTCACGCTTAAACGTGGAAATGAGTTAGACTCCAGTCAGCCTGCTTCCGTCTGACTGGAGCCCCCGGCCCATCGCACGCGCTCCTGAGGCTGTGGAAGGAAAGCCAGCGCTGGCCTGTGACTCCTGGTCACAGCGGCGTCCCCGGAGCTGCGCAGCTGGAGAGAAAGCCACATTCTGACCTAGGAGGTCCAGAGCCACCTGGACCTTCTAGCAGGAATTAACTGTCACCTGGACCCACTTTCTTACAGAATGTGTGGAATATCATCCATAATGGGAAGAACGGTTTCTTTTTCAGAAGCATTCGTGTTTTCAGAGTTCGCAGCACTGGCGGTTTGAAAGTGACTCACGGTGGGAGGGAGTGCGGCTCTGCAGAGCTGTGTTCTGGCTTCACCATGTTTACCGCACTCGGAGAGATAAGAAAGGGAATAACGCCCGTTGCCCAAGCAACCCACCAGCTGTGCCTGGACAGTTTCCTGGCATGTCCAAAACCATGAGAAGCTGGGGAAAGCACTCGTGTCCACCTTAAGCAAGGACAACATTGTAAAATGTGTACACGATTTTAAGCAGACGAACTGTGCATTTGTATGC